GGCCCCAGCCACGCCTTAGCACGGGAGGAAAATGGGGAACTAATGTGCCTTGTTAATATGACGGCACATGTACTTATGAGCCTTGATTATAACACACACACACACACACATATAAGCATAGATGATTGTTGTATAAGAATTCAAACTGCAACAAATAAACAAGCGGTGAAATTGAAAAATTAATAATTACTGTAACTTTATGTTATATTATTTCTTTTGTCTCGAGTTATAAGATAACTTGAGATGAGTTTATAAATAAAACACAATATAAACACTTTATAAATTAATTTTTTTGAAACAAAATTGTAAATTTTTAAAAATTGTTTGATACACTTAATCATCACATTATAATATTTTTTAAATTTTTTTTCTCTTAGACGATAATATTAAAAAGAATTTACTAATAAAATTTTATTCTTTTTATATTATTTTATATTTTGAGATAATAAAATTATTTTAAATTTTTTATAATTTAAGATGAAAGAAATATTAATTAAAAATAAAAAACTTCTAAAATTCATGATATAACAAAGATGGGAGGGAGTATTGTCTTGAGCGGCTTGCCACGTCAGCAAACTAAAAAATTGGGTCAAACGAAACATTTATTGATGTTTTGAACGTTTGAAAATTGAGTTAGCCTAATCAAATCAAGCAGTTATGTTGAGCATTAGGCTCTGGCAACCATAGAATTTGTGAATTTACATTGTGGATCTCATCATTGCTCAAAAAAAAAAAAAGAATTTAATATCTTCGCATCTCTTGTTAGGATTCGAGGTTGACTTGTTTCAAGTTGAATTAGTGGATAAGTCACACCTGACAATTTTTTTTAGATAATTACATATAAATTTTAAAAAAATTGATTAATTTAAAATATATTTCAGAATATTAAATTTTATGAATTTAAAACTTCAACTTTTATTTTAATAATTTCATTGTGATGATTTGTAACTTATTTTTTTAAATTTAAATAGAAAAATAAATTTATTTATTTCTCAACTATATTAAAATTTAAAAAATAAATTATAAATTTATTATAATAAAATTATAAATTAATAGTTGAACTTTTAAATTGTTAGAATTTAACGACTTAATTTAAATTAATTAATTTTTTTATGACCTATCTGATTTTTTTTTTTCCAAGCACATGGTGTTCCATGTTTGGCTCACCCTAGTCGTGAGAACTTAACAAACTTAAACTAATCGAGGTAATAACATGACAAGCATCATAAAAGTGCGTGTCCCTACTCCCTAGCCAGTTATGTTGTTGTATTTTTCAAGATTCGAATTAGAAACTTCTGGTTAAGGTGAAACATCTCTAACCAGCAACTGTGGTTTGACATCTTATTTTCATTTAAAGATTTTTTTTTGTCTTTTTTTTTTTTAAATTTAAGCGGCAAGAAGGATGTAGAAGGGAAGGAGGATAAAGATGATGATGGTGACAGAGTATGGGGGTCTGCATTCTCTGACCAAACCACCGTCTGTGCTCTCCACCGTGCACAACCTCACCCTCTCCCACGATTTCTCCAAACTAGTGCTTTGAAAATTCTTCCAATTCAATTTCAAATATTTTACATGTTACTAGGATTTAAAAAAAAATCATTTTTTTGAATATGGATAAATTTTGAAGGTTATTTTATTTTTAAACGGTTTTAATAATTTAACTACTTTTATATTTGATTTTAATAAAATAGTTAGAAGTGTTCTATATTTAGTATAAAAGGAGTACGATTTATTGAAATTTTTATATATACACAACACATATTATTGAATTAAACAACCATTCTGACCCCTTTTGGCCAACACGTGGTCGGTGCTACATAAGAGCCAGGGTCAATGAACAAAAATTTCTCCCTTCAATTTTATACACAGGAGATTGGACAAACGTTTTAACCGCAAAAATTTAGCTACTTCTATTAATTTTGTTAACAATTTACATTATTTTGGGAAAAGCTTACATTTATATATTTAAGATATTTATTTTCAATTAAATCAAAATGTTTATATCTTTTCTAGATTATTTAATTTATAGTAATAATTTTTGTTATTAATATTATTAACATATTAAAATACATATTTTTTGATTTTTTTTGTTCATAAATAATATTGCCATTGCTTAAAACGATGAGTAACAAGCCGGTTCAGGCAACTAAAGCCAAATCGAGAAAATAAAGCAACAGCAAACAAAAAACAACCAACCCTAAGTCTGGAAGTTGGGGTAGAAGCGTCCACAGATGGCCTTGAAGTATTGGCACTTGGCAGCATCATAGACTAGAAGTATCAGGAACATATACATATTTTAATTTAATTAAATAAAAATATATTAAATATATACAGCTTTATACACAAATTTCACCCAACTAGTTTTTTTTTTTTTTTTCAAAATTATCCCAAGAATTATTGGACACTCACTCATAATCTTTTTCCATTTAATTAATTAAATGTTAAGTGATTGTGGGCATTGTTGTAGGAAAGTGATTAATGCAAGAGATAATTTGAAGATGGATTAAATGATAATTTAAATCCTAATATTTGAATACTAAATTTGGCTTTTATACATTCTTAATTCTAAATAATTAAATTTAAATTGATCTTACTCTACCATTAAATTAAAGTAAACTAGTAAGTGGTGAGTCCAGGTGACTTGTTTCCCTCCCTTCTTCCCCTTCTCTCTTCAAATTTGGTTTAGACAATACAAATTTAAATTATTATTATATATTTTTTAAAATAAAAATTTATAAAATAATTTTAATATTTTTTATTTTTAATATGGTCTAGATTTAATTTAAAAAGTTTAATTTAATATTAAAATTTTTATAATTAATGTATAAGTATTCGAATATACTCTACACAATTTAGATTAACACCGAATTAAATTTAAATTATATAAAATACATTTATATAGTCAATATATATTAATTATAAAAATTTTAATATTAGATTATATCTTTTAAATTAAATTTAGACCATATTAAAAATATAAAATTTATTAAAGTTATTTCATAATTTTTATTTTAATAAACATAATATATAATAAAAATTTAAATCTCAACTATCCAATTAAATTTAGAGTTGATCACATTGATGAGCATATGGTGCCCAAACCGGATCCTGAATAGCGTAAAGCAAAAACAGTCTGCATCTGGGGTCTCCATCGCGGCAAGTCGCCGGAATCACGTGGGCACCTATGGAAGACACAAGGCGCCGAGAATAACAGACAAGAGAAACTCAGTTTCTAAATACTCAGTTTCTAAATAGAGAAACTGAGGGAATAAACAGTATGGGAAGGAAGACAGCAGAACACATTAGCGTTCAAGAGATTTCCCTCACAACAAGAAGAGGCTCTGTAGATGGGGGAAATCAGAGAAAGGCCCAAGCGTTGGTTCTGAGAGTTATCGCTTAGTGTCTGTGAGACTGCAAGCGCAAGCGCAAGCACAAACCCGATCAAACACGTACGAGATATTTCTCTTCCTTTTCCGTCTCTAGAATCTCATTTTTCACCGCCTTAAAATGCTCCATCGCTCTCGAAATAAATATTTCTTTTCCGCCTGCCACAATATTTGGCATCAATTTATTATTTGGGATATTGGGAAGCTATATATAGGCGACTCGATGAAGTATTTCAAACACGCAGGTAAATATTCCTCTTCCACCGGCCACGTCTTTGGCGCTCACCTTAACTCGGCGGATTTGACTTCTCCTCATTTCCTGATCTTTTCTTTTTTTTTTTTAACTTTTTATTTCAACCGTTAAATATATTTTTAAATAATTAAGATTTAAAATATAACTAATTCAATCTAAATTAAAATTTAAAATTATAATTTAAAATAGAAAATTAATTTTATAAAACATTAAATATCAATCATTTAAATATAAATTTTATAATTGAGATGAAAAATGAAAAGAAATTAGAGAGAAGTCAAGTCCGACAATTACCATCTCCTTTGCTGCACCCAAGCATTTCCCATGGAGCACATGTAAGGGGAGCAAGGGTGAGATTATTTTAAATTTAATTATTAAGAATTGAAAATATATTAAAAATAAATTTAGGGTTCGTATTATCTTGGCCCAATCATTTAGAATCTTCGACATCATTTAACCCTTGGAAAATTGTCCTGAAAAAAGACAAAACAAACCATTGAAAATGGTTCTATAAAAAGGATTGAAGGAAGTGCAACTACAAGGGACTTGCAAAGATTTTGTTACAACAGGAATACAAATTTGAGCGGATTTTCACTAAAGGGAATACGCACACGTGGGACCATACACTAATAATTAATTAATATATATTTCAGCATTACTTCCTTTGTTTTTTATTATAAGAAAAACGTTCTTATGCTGCCTTATTTTCTTGTAAGCAAACTTACAAAATTTAAAAACATCTATCATAGTTTTCTCAAATTATCCCTCCCGAAATCAAAGTTCATTTTTATAAGATAAACTTGTTTCATTTATTATAAAAATAATTGAATCTAAATTTTTAATTGCAAACATGATCATTATAGTTAACCAGTTCCCTTAAATGATATAATTTTATTGTATACCAAGAAACAATGTCGGAGTTTAATTAAGCGAGGCATAATGGTATATGTCATTGAATTAGTGATAGGGACTCATAAATCTTGACACATGCTTCCACTGAGTACTACGGAGACTGTATGTCATTGTACTAAAATCTGCTCGTCGCCTTACCACCACAAATATGTCATGAATCATGTTTACTAATTATTATAATAGATAGATTGATTCAATAAAATTAGAGACAAAGGTACATAAGGACTTCACGAAACAAAAGCATCTATCAACCTTGACTTTCCCTACGCATAACACAAACTTATGTGTCAGACGCAAATTAAACCAAACGGCTCCAAGAAAATTTTTTGTCACAGGGGAATTAGTCCGACTTTTCCATGGCACTAGAGGTCAATTGTGGGCGGCCACTCACAATCACAATGACAATACCTCGCTCGGACAACTCTTCTGGACACCGGGAAAGCAGGAAAATAAACCTGTCCAGTGTGCACCGCCAAGCCACACTGGTCTTACGGTAATTTCACATTTATATATATATGCAGGTTGGTCAAAACGATAATGATCATGCTTTGAACGAAGCAAGCAGTGTGTGGCTGGCCTCTGGGCGAAGCTAGCGCAGACAGCTCCATCAAGTGGAGAAGAAAGAAAGGATCTGTCAAACATGAAAAGTCGAAAACTTTGAACGCAGCATCACAGAAAAACTGCTTCCCGAGGAAAACCAGAACGTTTAGCGAACGATTCCAGAGGGGGAATCATCATAAATCGTACGCTCGATTCGACCTTCCTGGTTCAGTTCAGCCACTCGGAGCCTCAGATAGAAACTGGCGTGATGGTGAAGTCGGCTTGAAGATAATACCACTGGGGGACCCCAGCCTTCCCAAATACTGTCCGAATCTGCTGAATCGTACCAATCTGAGAGACCCTTTAAAGGCATAAATCCACTGAGGTACAAAAGCATATACTTCCGTTTATTAGCCCCTTTCAAAAGATTACTTGAGTGTTTCTTTCGGGTTCCTGGCTGGGTCGCTGATAACCGAACTGCAAGGACGGTTTTGCTCAGTTTGATTTTGAATCTTGGAATTTGCTTTTTTGAGTATTGTGTCGGGAGTGGCTTCTGTGTCTTAATCATAATTAGGTGAATGTGACACCCGAGTCGGCGGGATGTTATATGTGGTTAGGGTTTTCATGTACTGCAAGCAAAAGCCATGTGGCTGATGTCTAATTTATGCAGCAAGGTTCGATAGAAAGAGGTTTGGGTTTTAGATTTTGGGGTTCGATTGTAGAGATCTGAATCTAGTAAACGAATTTAGAACTTGGGGGTGCCTTTTTCCTTCTTTTTCTGTAAGGATATTGAAGCTTGGTTTTGTAGCGTGTTTTCTGGCCGTAGGCTGCTTCATTTTAGCGGTGGTTTTCAAAAATGGCGAATCGGTGGTGGGCTGGTAACGTGGCAATGAGACCTAAAGATCCCTTGATGTCTTCTTCATCACTTCATCTGAGAAATCCGCAAGATGACCGTGGCGGATTGAATCAACTCGGGCCGAGACGAGAGCAAGACTTCCTGGAAAACACCAACAATATCACGACACCGACCCATAGCAGCAACAGCAACACTAACGCCAACACAAACACAACTTCGCATAGCCAGAACGTCGACGACGACGAGAGCCGACATAATGGCCGCGAGGCTGATGACCAAAACCCAGGTAGCCACGACGTTGCCGAGCCGGGAAGCAGTGGCCGACGTCCCCGAGGCCGACCGCCTGGGTCGAAGAACAAGCCGAAGGCACCGGTCGTTGTAACCAAAGAGAGTCCCAACGCCCTCCGGAGCCACGTGCTGGAAATCTCCAGCGGCAGCGATGTTGCCGAGAGCCTCTCCACCTTCGCGAACCGGAGGCACCGTGGGGTGTCGGTGCTTAGCGGAAGTGGCATTGTGACCAACGTCACGCTCCGGCATCCGGCGGCCCCAGGTGGGGTTATCACACTAAATGGAAGGTTCGAGATTCTGTCACTATCCGGAGCGTTTTTGCCGGCCCCTTCGCCGCCCGGGGCCACTGGACTGACAGTGTATCTAGCCGGCGGGCAGGGGCAGGTTGTTGGTGGAAATGTGGTGGGTTCACTAGTAGCATCGGGTCCTGTATTGGTGATTGCAGCCACATTCGCTAATGCCACTTATGAAAGATTGCCACTTGAGGACGAGCCATCGGGGGAAGAAGTTGAAGTACAAGCACAGCAACAATCAGGAGTAAACTCTGGAACTTCTGGGCTTTCAGCATCTCAAGCTATGAATGAACAGGTTTCAATGCCTATGTTCAATAATATGAACCCAAATTTGCTACCAGGTAATGATCAGATGCCACACGATGTGTTCTGGGGGCCTCCTGCTCGCCAACCTCCTTACTGAAAGAGACTTGTGCAGTATGTTGAAAAGGTTTCTTGAAAGCACAGCATAGCTAGCAAGGTTAGGGATTTTGTGTTCATTTGTTTTGTTGTTTCTGATAGTCTTGAAAGATGTTTTTTTATTCTGAACTCTTCTGTACTTGTTTCTTGCTTCCTTCTAATCTACTGTTTCATTTCTAGTAGAGCTTCATCAACTTATTATTGTGTTGCAAGTGTTAAAAAGATTAGGTAATGAGGATTGAATCTACATAAATATATGAAGACATTTATGGTAAGCACACTGAGTTGTTGAACTTAATTTATGTTCAAGGAATAAAGATCAATTGGCGGTGTTTGAGAGGTTATATGGTATGAGTACTAGTCTGTGTACTGCGATAGAGAAGCTTAACGTCAAAAACTTTTTGCACATATCTTAGGCAATGCAATGTAATGAGCCACCATCTATATTTAGCATAGTGTGTGATGCCAAATTTGGACTGTATCAGTATGATCAGTGATGGTCTAGTGGATACCATCTATATTGCTAAATTATGATTTAGACTTTATCATTCTCAAGCTTCATGCTATCCTAGACAGTACGGGAAGCAGAAGCATTGGCCATTTTGGCTGCTATTTCTTTCAAGAGGCTTGGGCGAAAATCCAGTTTGCTGCTAGGTGGTTTTTCTTTTCTAGGAGCGTACTGCCCGATATATTGTTGAGCCGTAGGATTAGCTACATGGTTTTCTTACAAACGCTTGATATGTCATCTGTGTGATCCAACAAATCTGAGCTTTCTTGGTCACTAGACTCTGATTAAATACGATTAATTCGAAGGGTTAGAATTTAGATAAAAGAAGCGAAAGGCTGATTGAAAATAATAATTTGGAGGGGGAAAAGTATGTAGTGTTTATATTTTATATCGTTCTCTCCTGTGATGAATGACTCTTGATGATTTCATAGATTTGCATTTTTTATTTTACATTTTAAAGGGAAGTTCATAGAGTTGTCGAGCGTTTTTTTTCTTATAGTTCGTCAGCTTCATGGCTTTCTCTCGTCTTTAGTCGAAGCTTGTTTGCAAACAGAAAATTTCGTCTGATGATTAATCGGGTCCGGTGAAATAGGATGTCTTTTGCATGCTAGTTAGCCAGTATATATAGCAGTATTGATATCCCTTTTCTTTATTTAATGTTTATCAACCGATCTTGGTCAGTTTTTTTGTAGATTTGATTTGTTTGGAACAGTTTTTTTTCATTTAAATTAAGAGCACATTTGAATTCTATTTTTAAACAATTTTTGTTTTTTTTAAAAAACTTAATGAGCTGAGTGTTTTGAATTTAATTGTTTCTAAAATAGATTTTATTTTTTGTTTTTAAAAATAAAAAAATCATCTTACAGCCAATTTCGTTTTATTTTTGTTGTTTCCAAGTTATATTACATTTATTATTTGAAAATTGTAGTCACCATAATAATTATTATCATTGTGACCATTAACTGTGATGATTTTAACTTTGAAATTATTTTTAAGTTAATACGATCAAATTTTTTTTTGTTTCAAAAGCAATTTTAAAAATTAATTAAAAATATTTTTTATAAATAAAAAATAAAACACAGCCAAACATGTTTTCAATCACTACATTTTTGTGATTAATAGTTAAAAATTTAATATGATTTATACAAGCCATCTCAATTGCATGCATCTTTGTGTCTCACTGTAATATTTGGCTAATAGAATGAAAAGGGTTTTGGAGGTGGAAGAGGTTAGAGATTTAGAATAAAATAAAATAGATTAAAAAATTGCCAGTTGAGATTAAAATAAAATAATTTGTCATGTTTTGATTGGGAGAGGGGAAAAAAAGTGAGTACGGAGTACTTGGGTTTGGAACTTCGGGTACACTGTGTTCTTCCTGGCCTGGGTACGAAACAAGAATTAGGATCCATTCGTAAAGACATTTAGCCCTGACTTTGTTTTTTTAATACAATTGCCTATGGTTTATGGATCTAATGGGCATAATAAAGCTCTTTCAACAAATATTATTCACAGTTGCATGCTAAAATTTAAATTTGAGATTACTAATTAAGTTAGCACAATTTTTTATTAGTTGGATTATATACTCGTTTATTCGTGTGTATTTTTGACAATGAAAACATACATGCTGTCTTCATTTTCCTATAATTTTTATTTTTTTTATTTAACCATGCAAATTGTGTTCGGTGGCAATGTAATTTTTGTAAGCAACTTTTGGGCAAGGTGTGTGTATATTTGTGTGTGATTTTTTTTAATAATATCAATATGACTTTAATACCCTATTTTTGTTCATATTTCTGTGTTCTTACACTTTTAACTATTTTTTTCAACCAACTATACATTTACCTAGTTTGAAAGGATTAAAAAGGCTAATTATAAGAAATTTGTATTGTTAAAATATTAAAAACATATAACTACTTAAGATCATCCTAAGATTAAAATCAATCAATCTTAATTACTTTTAATTCCCTTCGTATATAATATATCTGCGCAATATGATTAATAGGACTATAAGAGCATTTGGGAAAGAAAAAATTTAATGCTATGAAATTTTTTGCAAATTGTTTTATATTTTAAACCAATACTAGCCGGTAGAAATTTTCATCTATTATGGATTAGACAGAGCATGGAGATATTATTAGTTTGTTTACAAATTGTCGCGGCCATGTATGTTATGTAACTCATTTCATTCTGGCGAACAAACTACACTATTAATAGAATGAATAATGTGATTTATTTATTGAAATTTCATACGATATACATCATTCATGTATCAAATAAGATTGAATAGAATAATATGATTGAATAGAGTAATATGATACCACGTGTTAGGTTTAATATCTCAATTTATGTGAACAAATATAATAAACAAAGATCTGTGTGTGTATTTGAAGAATTCATAATCACTAGAAATAGCTTGATTATTTCAAGTATAGACAGATACATAATCTATTGGACTCTTATAGTTTTCAGAGAGTACAGAGATAGTAGAGTAAATGAAAGCAATTGTATGTTTTGTGGTTATTGATTGATTGGCTTATGTAGACATGATCAGTAACTGCTATATTAAATAAATAAATTAATTATATTTTATTATTTCTGACTCAGTTAATTAAGAAAGAGTGAATAACTGAGAGCTATTGGGTTGTAGATTGAGCCTTTATATATTGGGTTCACTTGTGTGGTTCATTTATTACAGTTCATACAAGATTATAAAGATCAATCTGTTTGGACTTATTAATTAATATAAATTCATATATAAATATTCCAACATCATGTTCACTAATTTCGGAATCCAGCAAAAAGATTTAGTTTGAAAAGAATGGCAAAGACTCGAAATATCATGAACTAAGTGGTATTGACGAATGAGATCATGAAGGCTTTGAAACCTCCAAAGATTTTCTCTAGTAGCAATTAAGCTGTTACAGATTACAGAATACAGACAAGCTTTGGAAAATTATACTGTTTGAGGAATCTTGAACATCCTCTATTTTGATCGGAGCTTTTGCGTGTTTTGCCTCAGAGAAATGCTTTCCATTTAAATAAGGATAAACAACAAAATAATGAGTCATCAAAACTGAAGTTATCATGGAAGAAGCAAATTCAATCAAACTCATAGCATTGAAATCTAGGTTATCTGGGCTGCTTAAATTGATAATTTATTAAATTGGTACATTGATCAGTTCAATAAAATGATTTGTTCATAATTGATCTAATCATGATCTGATAATGAATTTAATAACTAACTCTTGATTCAATGCTTTAATTGATTTAAAAACTAGTTTAAATTTTAATACCTTAATCAAGCAATAATAGCATTATTGTTACATGGAAGATGAGGTAATGTAAGGTAAAAGATTTTAAATTAACAATGTTATCATAGTTGAAGAATATGTTACAACTCTAAATTCATTTAAATATGAGTGAGCATCAGTTGGTTCAATTTAATTTAGTGCCAAAATACACAAAACCAATCAACTGAAAAATACTTAAAATGGACCAATTGAATTAGGATTGAATTGAACTTTAAAGATTCGAATCAGTTATTTAATTTGGTTTTGAATTTTATATTGAGCTGTTGGACCTATGTCATTGATTTTCATCTGCTATATTTTTTTTATAACAAAACTAATAAAAACATATACATATACATATACATGTATAAATGAGATTAAGTCGATATTGTGAATTATGGATTGTCTTCTCAAGGCGATAAAGTCACACACACACACAGACTCATAAACAAATTGTGGAGGACTAAAATGTGAAAATACTTGATAGATATAAATTTGAAAAAAAAAACTATCTAAATTACGCACCTTTTAGGGTTTTAGAGTTAAATTGTTTATAGATTTATATTTTTGGATTATAAAAAGAATAAAATAAAGTAATAAACTCTCTCTCTCTCTCTGTGTATACATAATTTGTAAATTAATAATATGTATATGTATATATATATATATGTATGTATATGAATGGTAATTCGATCGGTTCAATTTATTCAATTTTAACATTTATGATCGAGTCAAAGTGTTCAACCAAATTTTTTTAAAAAAAATTAAATTAAACCGAATAACCAAATAGATTGAACTTCTTTTAATTTTTGGTTTTGGTTTAATTTTGCTCACACCTGTATTGAAACCGCATAATGATGTTTATATAAAAGCTGGATCATTCAAACGTCCACTCGAAACACGCAAAAAGGTCTCAGGACATAACAAAATATAAACAATATAAAAAAGAAGAAGAAGCGAGGATAAGGCAAGCTGCTTACAAAGAAGGAACCTGATTCAGATAAAAAGTGATGGAGAGCATCAAAGAAAAGCGGGAAAAATTGATACTGAATGCCGATATTCTCAGGAATTCTTGCATTGAGCACCTTTTTTTTTAAGGGAAAATGACAATAAATAACCTGCTAAGAACATTAATCTCAATTACAGATTGTGAAATTTTAAAATTAGAGTTAAGGACCATGGTCCTTAATTGTGATAAAAAAATATAATTTGTGAGGTGGGATTCACTAATGCGATTTGGAAATTCACTAATTTAACTTGAGAAAGTTACTAATGTATATTGTGAAAACATGAAATCCCACTTGAAAATAAAATGTTTAACAAAAAGCGTCACTTAAAAATTCACTAACTAGACTTGAAAAAATTTCTAACGTATATTGTG